TTATGCTACTACTACTATATTCTATATCAGGGAAATAGTTCCAGGACACACTACAATTTTACCTCATCAGAAACTAATTCTGACAAGCCTCCTAAATAAAGCAGAGTAGCTATCCTCTTTACTTGTTTTCTCAGTCAAAATTAGGCAGCCCATGTGGTTTCTACTTTGTTAAATTGTAGCATCTTAAACATCAATTATAAAACACACCATTATAGTATTACACACTTTGCCTAGATCTCCAAGCCTGACTTTGTTATAAATAAGAAGTGAACAAAATCTATGCCTAGATATATCATATAAGATGGCTGATATATTCCATCAGCATGAATGAATTCCAAGACAAAGATACGCTGTGAAAAGGATTAAACGGTAGGATAGCAAATCCATCGTGGGCTTACCGATTGCAGAAGATTCTCGGGAAGAATTTCAAAAATATCACTGTCAATGTCAACTGATACTCCTCCAGTGATATTGACTTCATCCTCCATCTTTGCATTTTCCACAGGGGTGTCAAATTTCAATGATCTGATACGAAGTGGCCGATTAACAGATTTGTTGGGTGAGCTGGTCGAATCATCGTCCGGGCTCATATAACACCTCTTTGGAGGTTGCAATGCAGGTGTGGCACTCATCAGCTTTACTGGAGTCAAAAAGTGTCTTGCAGGAGTTCCTTGTACGGTAGGAGTTCGCACAGAAGAACAGACTTCATTCTTCACGAAATTTATATCTTTCATGGCAGTTGCAGGTGAATGATGCTGTGGTACACTTGCTTGAGAAGCCCCGAGTGAACAGTTTTGATGGGTTGTTGGTTTTAAAGAAAATTTACTAATGAATGGGGCAGCAGATGCACTGATTCGCTCATCATAGGAACTGTGGTCAACCTGCAGCTCTGAAACAGGGGGAACTGAAGGCTGAACAGACACTAATGATTGTTCTGGATTACTATGTACTGCTTCAATGCTTAAAACTTCTTTTGAAAAGCATTTTTGGAAAGATTGAGATAGATGGGATGCTGCTGCTGGCTGTGGTTCTTCAAGTGCATCAGTTAGTGCCTCACCGATCAAGGATGAACTGGAGGCCTTGATTGTGCTTGTATGCAGATCTAGCTTTGACTGGTTGAATGGCTCTGGTAGCGTTCCCTCTGGAACTTCCCCCTGAATGCTAAGAGATATTGTTAATTACGCAAGCTATGCCAAAAAAATCAGGATGACAGTGCAAGCAAAACAAAAGGCAGATGATTATAGACAATAATATCTTTAAAAGTACATCAGAGGCAAAATGCAGATATAGAATATAGACCAAATTGTTCTTAAAACGCAAAGCCAACTTCCTAGCTGGGGACAAGCATTCATACTTCTGGTTCAGACCATCAAAAAGTCGCAGGACACGTCTCTAACTTGTCACCATGACACTAATACTGATAACTGAACTAGAGTTTTGCATTCTACACAATTAAATAGTGTAGTGAAAATTGATTATGCTGAAATTTGGGAATGATGTACAGAATTAGGTTTTAATTTGTGAAACTTGTTGAAATTTGTAGCAATTTACAAGTTGGAGTCAAGCTGATTCCTTGTCTTCACTTGTTGAAATTTGTAGCAATTTACAAGTTGGAGTCAAGCTGATTCCTTGTCTTCACTTGTTGAAATTTGTAGCAATTTACAAGTTAGTTAAACCGATATGATGTTTACCGCTTGTTGAAATTTGCAGCAATTTACAGGTTGAGGAAAGAGCTAATTATGTTGTTTAAACACTTGTTGAAATTTGTAGCAATTTACAAGATAACGTTAATCTGTTGAAATTTGCAGCAATTTACAGGTTGAGGAAAGAGCTAAGTATGTTGTTTAAACACTTGTTGAAATTCGTAACAATTTACAAATAGATTATTGTTTAAACTTGTTAATCCTTATTGATCCCTGTTACAGTATATGTTAATCCTTATTGAAATTTGTAACAATTTACAAGTAGGCTAAACCGAGATCACCGTTTAAACACTTGTTGAAACTTGAGAAAAAGTTTGTAAAGTTAACATTGAGTAGTATATGTTTCAAACTTGTTAGAATTTATGAAAAGTTTGCAGGTCAGTATCTTGCCGAAGTAAAAGTTTTGTAGCCATTATATCCGAGGTATGTAACCCCGAGAAGATTGCACAAAGGAGGCAAAGTATGAAAGGCATACAAAAAATTCTAAGTATAGAATCAAACAGAGGCAGTCAAAGAAAAGGCAAAAAAATGCAGTCATTCAAAGAAATATAGTTATATTAAAATATCCAACACAAACAGAAGGCACATCGGCCGTACAGAGAAGCTTCTATTGTACAGGAAACAAAAAAGTACAAAGATGAAGACCCTAAGAACTAGGGACTAAGGCAAGAACGTCAAACTAATCTACTTCAACGGTTGACGATGGTTCGGCATTGACAGTCAGCTGGGAGAGCTTCTCAACCATTATCTCGGCAACAATTTTAAGAAGGGACGTGGTTCTAAGACTATGCAGAAAACAGAAATGAAGGCAAGAATCTGGAAATACAACAAGAAAAACAAGAAAAGAAAAATCAGAGTCAAGAAGATGACAAAGTTGAAGAATAAAGCCAAGTGCACAGGCACTAAGTAAGTATGTGAAAAAACAAGAAAGTAATGAACCAGACATAATACTAGCAACAGAAAGCGAATATGACAAGAACAAGTGCCAGGCATTCAAACAATTCAAGACTTGAAGACAGATGAAAATAGAAGGCAACAGATGGCAAATAAACAGATTCAAAGTAAATCAGAAGAGTTATGAAAGATTGAGCTTAATAGCAAGTAAAGAGTTTATGAACCTACAAAGTGAAATGAACGCCGATATGAAAATCGCAGGAGTCAAATAGATGACTGGAAATCGGGAACTCACCAGAGAGTGTGAGTGAAACAGTTGCAAAAGCTCTTGGAGTTTACAAATTAATGGAACCAGAACCTCGGCTAGGAGGTGCGATTTCAAACAGCTTGGAAGGCATGAATCTTGATACTTGACAGAAATGAACAGCAAAGTCCAGGGAACTTTGAGGTCGGCAAGTTTGATCTCAGACAGAGGGGCACAGATGAACGAACAGTGTAAGTTCCATCACCTCAGAATGCCGATAAAATCAAATATATTTGTGAGGATATATTTTCTGAATACCAACACGTGGCAAGGTGACGCCGACGTGTCAGCCGAGGTGCCACGTGTCCTGGTCGTGACGCCGAGGTGATCTCGGCAAGGCCGAAGTTATCTCCGAAGATATCGGAATCCGAGATAAATGGATAAGGGACAAGAGTCCTAGAATGAAAAGGGAACTCAACCTGGATAAGGGACAAGAGTCCCAGAATAAGAGAAAACTTCAGTTTGTATTAAGATAAGACTCTTAGAGAATTTATCCTAATCTTACTGGGAATCCAAGATTAGCAGTAATCCTGAGTCCATAGAAATCAAGCTTCTATTGGGACTACGTTTATGTTGGCTATAAAAGAGAGGCACCCCCATGGGTCTAAGGTATGCTTTTGATACTCAAGCTTGTGAGTTTAGCACTTGATTTATCTTTGAGAGATATACTGACTTGATCGTCGGAGTGCCCCCGGGTGGTCGAAACCACCGCGGGATTCTTATATTTCTGTTGCAGGTCAGTCAGGTACCATCTATTCTGCCAGTGCTCTCCAGCTGGTTACTAAGCGGGCAGTGTGGTCGAAAAATCACCCACACTACCCCCTAGGTTACTTGTATGCACATTTAAGCCTATTTTAGTGTACTTGTATGCACATTTAAAATCATTTTCACTTGTATTTACTATTACCAAGAATCCATTATCAAAGTAAGAAAACAAACCACCAATATACAATGATCTTAGAAAAAGGTGCTTACTGACATTTCTAGTGGTACTCTTGCGACTCGACTTCCTTTCCCGAGTTTCTTTTTGAATATTTGTTTCATCTTCTAAAATATTAGAGAGAGAGAGTTTAGGTTAAGTTGAGACTTGAACTTATTGTGTCAAAGAAATTTGTAGAGAATTTTTCTTGAGACTGGGAAGTTCAGAGAAATTTGAAAAGAAGTCCAGAGAAATTTGGAAAGAATTTCCCTGGATAGTAGGAAATCCAGAAAATTTTGGAGAGAAAAATTTGAAAAGAAATCCAGAGGAATTGAAATTTTTTTAAATCGATGTATAAAAGACCTTAAACATTATGAAAATATTAAATATCATTTATGCTATAAAATCTTAATATCAGGAACTCTAAAAAAAATCCCCATAAATAAAAAATATCTTCATGTTTTTCTTGAGACTGGGAAGTTCAGAGAAATTTGAAAAGAAGTCCAGAGAAATTTGGAAAGAATTTCCCTGGATAGTAGGAAATCCAGAAAATTTTGGAGAGAAAAATTTGAAAAGAAATCCAGAGGAATTGAAATTTTTTTAAATCGATGTATAAAAAACCTTAAACATTATGAAAATATTAAATATCATTTATGCTATAAAATCTTAATATCAGGAACTCTAAAAAAAATCCCCATAAATAAAAAAATATCTTCATGAATGTTTTATCTTAAAATGAAATATACATATTAAATTATATAATTTTATACAAAAATTATGTATCATTTATTTTTATTTTTATTTTTATGCCATTATTTACAAAAAAGATTTATTAATATCATGATATTTATTATGTCAATAAAACTACACTCACCATATTTTATTTACTATTTAATGTGTGAAATACATAATGATTGTTGTAATGATATTCATATAATTTCCATTCATATTCATACTCATATTCAACCATTAATAGTTATTTGTATTAAACAAAAATGGTATAAAAATATAGTAAGCATAAAATTAATTATTTGTATAAACCTTTTTTTTTTTTTTTGATAAATCTATTTCTTTGAACAATTTTAATGGTGTCAATTTATGAAAACCTCTCAAAAATTTTATATAATACTACAAAATTCTATAAATAAATATATAAATTAAAAAAAAAAAGTTCAATGGGTTCAATTAAACACCTACTTTATGCATAGCTCCGTCCATTTTTTTTATTTTTTTTTTAACACTAGAAATCTTTCATTAAGTAGGAAAGGAAGGTACATCAGAAGAGACTAACGAAACGAAACAAAAACAGGCTGGGGGAAACAAAGCCTAATTAACAGGTAACACCTTAGAAGCTAAAGACTTAACAACCCAGCGGCCAATTGTTGTTTCGCCCAGTCCACACAAAAGACTTAGCAACCCAGCTCTGCCCATGTTGACCAGTATAAATCCGCTTCTTTAAATAACTTGAGGAAGTGAAATTCCAATTAATTGTTGTCACTTTGCTTCCACCAGTCTTGCACGCAACAACTCCGGGCTTGATATCTTATTGATGCTACAAAAGGACAAATGATCACATTAAACAACTCTGTGGAGTAGCTAAATATTAACAAACAAAGCAACAATTAGTTCAGAGGGGAAAGAAGACCCTGTTGAGCTTGACTTTAGTCCGACTTTGTGAAATGACTTGAGAGGTGTAGGATAAGTGGGAGCCAGAAACGGCAAAAGTGAAATACCACTACTTTTAACGTTATTTTAAATAGTTTGGAACTAACCTAACACATTTCTTGTATATACTATTTTCAATCATTTAAATGGAATTTAACACGTGAAACCTACAAATTATATATGAAAGGCTTACCATATGAGAAGATCTCCACTAGATACAGACCTCTCATAAATCCATCCAGGAACTAGTTCCTGCAAAAGTTCAAGCTGCTCTTCAACTTCTCCTGTGAACACAAGACGAGTAATCTCAAACAGAGTTTCATGACATCAACAGAGATTTATGTTTCTGATAATAAAATCGAGGTTTACTTCTATCAACAATATCTAGGTGGCTGGCCACTATCTTGTGCATAAGCTCCTCTTTTGTGATAACAGAACTCTTGATTGACTGAAACAAGTAACAAATCAAGTCAAAGAGTTTAGGTAAGCTGCCAATCATCTGTTGGCGCCTCATCACTTGTGAGAAGGCCGGATCCTGCTGCTCTAATGCTTTCCTCTCTTTCTCTCCAATCTGCAGAGAGAGAGAGAGAGAGTAAGAGGGATGTTAGGTAGTTCCTTATTTGAATCAATTATGCAACAAATGTAACCACAAGTCTTCCCATGTGAAACATAATTTGACAATGTTCCTCCCCAAACTAGGCATAAAAATACAAGAGCATGAGTGGAACGAGTAAATGTTGTTTTCATCAAAACACTTCCTCTTTAAAATGATAACATTAGGGCCAATCTTTATGCTACTACTACTATATTCTATATCAGGGAAATAGTTCCAGGACACACTACAATTTTACCTCATCAGAAACTAATTCTGACAAGCCTCCTAAATAAAGCAGAGTAGCTATCCTCTTTACTTGTTTTCTCAGTCAAAATTAGGCAGCCCATGTGGTTTCTACTTTGTTAAATTGTAGCATCTTAAACATCAATTATAAAACACACCATTATAGTATTACACACTTTGCCTAGATCTCCAAGCCTGACTTTGTTATAAATAAGAAGTGAACAAAATCTATGCCTAGATATATCATATAAGATGGCTGATATATTCCATCAGCATGAATGAATTCTAAGACAAAGATACGCTGTGAAAAGGATTAAAGGGTAGGATAGCAAATCCATCATGGGCTTACCGATTGCAGAAGATTCTCGGGAAGAATTTCAAAAATATCACTGTCAATGTCAACTGATACTCCTCCAGTGATATTGACTTCATCGTCCATCTTTGCATTTTCCACAGGGGTGTCAAATTTCAATGATCTGATACGAAGTGGCCGATTAACAGATTTGTTGGGTGAGCTGGTCGAATCATCGTCCGGGCTCATATAACACCTCTTTGGAGGTTGCAATGCAGGTGTGGCACTCATCAGCTTTACTGGAGTCAAAAAGTGTTTTGCAGGAGTTCCTTGTACGGTAGGAGTTCGCACAGAAGAACAGACTTCATTCTTCACAAAATTTATATCTTTCATGGCAGTTGCAGGTGAATGATGCTGTGGTACACTTGCTTGAGAAGCCCGGAGTGAACAGTTTTGATGGGTGGTTGGTTTTAAAGAAAATTTACTAATGAATTGGGCAGCAGATGCACTGATTCGCTCATCATAGGAACTGTGGTCAACCTGCAGCTCTGAAACAGGGGGAACTGAAGGCTGAACAGACACTAATGATTGTTCTGGATTACTATGTACTGCTTCAATGCGAAAAACTTCTTTTGAAAAGCATTTTTGGAAAGATTGAGATAGATGGGATGCTGCTGCTGGCTGTGGTTCTTCAAGTGCATCAGTTAGTGCCTCACCGATCAAGGATGAGCTGGAGGCCTTGATTGTGCTTGTATGCAGATCTAGCTTTGACTGGTTGAATGGCTCTGGTAGCGTTCCCTCTGGAACTTCCCCCTGCATGCTAAGAGATATTGTTAATTACGCAAGCTATGCCAAAAAAATCAGGATGACAGTGCAAGCAAAACAAAAGGCAGATGATTATAGACAATAAAATCTTTAAAAGTACATCAGAGGCAAAATGCAGATATAGAATATAGACCAAATTGTTCTTGAAAAGCAAAGCCAACTTCCTAGCTGGGGACAAGCATTCATACTTCTGGTTCAGACCATCAAAAAGTCGCAGGACGCGTCTCTAACTTGTCACCATGACACTAACACTGATAACTGAACTAGAGTTTTGCATTCTACACAATTAAATAGTGTGGTGAAAATTGATTATGCTGAAATTTGGGAATGATGTACAGAATTAGGTTTTAATTTGTGAAATTGGCACCTTTCTGTGTAATTTGGTCAGTGAAATTTATTCTTTGTTTGGGTTAATTGATGTTAGAAATTAGGATTTGAATTGCCAACCCAACAAAACCAACCACACCAAACCTCCCACTACAAAACCAAAAGATTCAGTTATATGTATAGTATGGCCAGTTTCATTACCATTTTATAGGAAACCAACATGTTCAGTATGGGGCCAATTTTGCTTTATAAACTGTCCGAACCAAACCAATTACACACTTACATTCAGGTTCACGAAATCAATCTTAAAACTTAATAGAAGAATATGTATACCTCATGATGGGCTTTAAAGAAATCCAATAGTCTACCCTGAAAGACCTTCCTCATGTGTGAATTCCCACTAGCCAATTTCATCATGCCCTCATTCTTAATAGCATCAACATTCATAGTAACATGAAGATCAGGCTTCATACAACAAGTTCGCTCATCATGTACAAGTACCTTCTTTATCTCAATCACTTCAGGCAAAATAAACTTCAATTGTGCTAAATGACCATGGGAGAACCTCCTACAAAAATTAAATCATGACATTACAAATCTAATGAAAAGGATTAAAAAAAGAAATCCTCTGGCTATATAGAAGTTTGCATGTATCAAAATTTTACCTATCTGTCAAACGCTCTACTTTGGGGCAAATATTTGTAAATGTGGACATTGAGCCCCTCAACCTAAGCAGCCGAATCGAACAATCCAAGCTATTGAAGAACTTTCCCAATATCTCATACCTGAAAGTAATTCAACTCCACCATCAGCAATTGACTAAAAACATGGTCTGCGTGCTTGTCCAGAAGATAAAAAATAAGAAATAAATAAATTCCCCTGGTTTTTACATATTACCCAATGTACTTTGTCGGAGCTACAAGAACAAAACTTTACAAAGATTTGCCAGGAACCAACATCCAGCAAATTAGTTAAAGGTACAAATAAGTTGAGAGTTTTTATTGGCTGAAACAAAATAACCAAAACAATTATTCAACAAATTGGGAGAAAGAAAAAAAAAATCTGCTTGAATTTGAAATGGCCTTTGCTCTCCCTGATCTATAAAAGCATAATGCTCAAATCAGATTCAAGTAATTCATCATTTTCTCTCAAAAACAAACAAAATGTTACTATTACAAGATCTATAGAAACAACAACATAACTGACAAAACCCGTAAATTTTCACCAACATTTTACGAAAAAGTAATCAAACTTGCATAAAACATACTTTTCCGGAAGATTTACGTCATCAGAACCGGACTTTTCGTACTGATAGGGCCGATCTTGATCTGGAATCGGGCGCTCTGAAGCGACATCTCTCATTTCTTCCACCGACGCCGCAGTTCGGCGGTTCCGGACTCGACTCGGAGGGTTTGGTGGCTTCTCGGGGGTTTTGGAGCTACATGTACTCGAATCAGAACAAGCTTTGGTCAACTGATCGGGAGGCGAGGACTTCGGGGCTGATGAATGTAGTATCTTCTTCGATTTAAATGAATCAAAGGGTAATGAGTCTGAAGACTCCATTACTTAGTTGATGGTTTGGGGACTGGTGGGAGATAACTAGGGTTTGGGGGATCTGAAAGAGACCGTCGTGACCTGTCTCCTCCGGGACTTCACCGTTAGTTCTGGCTCAGAGAGAGAGAGAGTGAGAGAGAGAGACTCTTAACACTATGTTTGGAATTAGAGATAGAATGAGGGGAATTTATAGAGAGGGGATTAATAGTGTAGGAATTGTTAGCGAGGAGATTATATAAAATTGTGTTTATTTTGATGATAATTGTTAGTGTAAGAATTGTTAAATTATTTTTATATAAAATAATAAAATAAATAAAAAATATAAAAAATTAACACATTAATATTTATAAAAAAATTCTCAATATATAACAAATAAAAAAAATTAAAAAAAAATTAATTCCCTTATTATTTTTCTAACACCATCAATCATAAGCCACGTGGGAAACAGAGAGTCAAATGCAAACCAAATACCCACACCTCTTCGAAAATTAAGGTACGTCGAGTTTGAGGACAAACTCCTATTTAGGAGGGGAGAAATGTGACATCCTAAATGTTTAATTAAATACTACATAAATATTTATAGTTATATATAATTATGGTTGTATGTGATGATAGACTATTAAATAAATGAATATATAAATTTAATTTGGCTTGGGTTATCAAATATAAGATTAATTAGGAATTATTATTATTAGGGACAAATTAACACATTATGAAATTATAATACTAGTTGGGTCAAACTACAGATAATAAATAAATAATTAATTTTATAATGATAAAACAAAAAATAATAATAATAAAATAAGATGTAATTTAATTTAAATTAATAACATTGAAAAAGCTTAACATTAAAATAAATAAATAAATGAATGAAAAGAAAAGGGAATTGAGAATTTGTTAGCCCAGCAGCTTATGTATTTTGGCCTACAAGAAAAAGGAAAAAGAGGAAAAAGGCCCAAGTCTAAATACTTATCTCTAACAGATTCAATCTTATTTAAAATCTGCAATTAAGAGCTCACCTTCTAGCCTCATTATAGCCTCTCGAGGAGGGGATACGTGGCACTCCATTGAAGCTCGGCTCACAGTATAAATAGGAGCAAGGTGATGAACTAATGAAGAAACGTAAGAATAAAGAGTGGAAGTCGAGAGAGAGACGTAAGTGAGAGTGCGGAGTTGATAGTAGGGAAGTTTTGATAGTAAAGTAAGGTTAAGGATTATAATTAAGGTGAATTATATTATACCTTGATTTACCATTATATGTTTTACGAATGTTTTGAGTTACCATTAGGGGTGGGCGCGGGTTGGTTGCTGCCACGGAACCTTCAATCCGCCATCCGTCCGCCAAATTGGAAGATTGGAGAAAATCAATCCGCATCCGTCCGCCAATCTGGCAGATGTGGATTGAGCGGTTTGGCAGATGGATATAAATCGGTTTGGCGGTTTAAGATTTTATAAATTTTTAACATAATTCAACTTGTGCACTTCCTTAAAAAAAAGAAAAAAAAAAGAGAAAGTATTACAGTCAATGACTTAAAAAACTATTACAATTACTGTATGTCTCATCAAAAAAAGAAAGTTTAAAACTTTAGAATATCACAATCACTGCATGGTTCATCCACATATTACAATCACAGCATGATTCATCCACATAAAGTATTACAATCTTTGGTTCTTAAATGATAATAACAATTCAAACCACCAAAACCATGAACAGGGTAGTAGTAGAGATTGTATGTCTCTGTATTGTTACATATATATATATATATATATATATATATATATGTTTTTGAAAATAAAAACCAACCAGCATATATCATATTTTTTATTTTTTATTTTTAGAGTTAAATTTAAAAATAAAAAAATATAGATAAATAATACGTTTATTTTTTTAATTCAAAAAATATATTCAAGTTGAAAACTTTTTTTCAATAGAATATTTAAACTCTTTTTTAATTGAAAACACAAACAAAATATTTAAACAAATTAAAAACATAAAGTCTTATAAATTATTAGGGGTGCTCGCGGTTTGGCGGTTCGATTGCAGCTAAAAGAATTTGAAATCCACCATCCGTCCGCCAAATTGGCGGATTGGAGAAAATCAATCTGCAACCGTCCGCTCGTCATCACGCATCCGTCCAAAATGCGGCGGATCGGTTTGATTCGGTCGATTTTGACGGATCGATGTATCCGCTGCTCACCCCTAGTTACCATAGCTTATTTTATACAAGTTATATTTATTAGGTTATATAAATAAAAGTTATGTTTATAAATATTTCAATTACGTGGGTTACTTTCTAAACTCTATTTACTTAAAAAGAAACTCATGGATATATTTGTTTAAATTTTAGCATGTATTTGACTATAACCTTATAAACAATTATGTTTTGTAAGTACCACCACGGGAGTCCCACGCCTTAGGGGACTTAAATAACCACTGGCCTCTGTTTGACCACTTTATGGTCTTCTGTTTGTCATGGATCCATTGACCTCTGTTCTGACTGTCACTTCTGTGACCTCTGTTCTGTTCTGTTTTATACCGTGGTTATGATTATTTATTTACATGATTTCTGTATTCTGCCACTTTAAATAAATTGTCATTTTAAATTAAAATATGCAAATATTTTAACCTAACTAATTATCCATGGTTGTTTTGTATTTCCCTACTCTCTTGGCATAATATTTTTCACTCTGCTGTGTGCTTATAGCTGTTACCCTTTCAGGTGACGAGATGTAAGGGAAATCCATAACCCTACAAAATGGAACCTGCATATGGACTGATGATGAATCATTATTTTACCTTTCTCTTTTTTATATTTTTGCTTCTTTTTGTCTCTGTTCGGGGCTGGTCACTGAATAAGAAAATAACGAAAGCCCTAGAAATGTATTCTTTTTTTTTTAAATAGTAAAATGTAGTAAAATTTCTGTTTAATTATTTTTATTTTCACTTGCGCAACTTAATTTGCTTCGAATAAGAATAAATTAGTAAGTCACAATTCCAACTCTAAGCCCCTGAGGTTGGATCGTGACACTAATCCTCTCCCATCTACTTAACCCCAAAACAAAAAAAGAAGAAATGATTACATAAGAGATAGAGAGGAAAAAAAAAACAAAAAAGAAAGGAAATTTTTTTTTTTTTTTATGTAACTATAATATTGAGATTTTTCTACTTCTTATTTTGTTAGATTTCATAAAATAAAATAAAAGAAATTATTTTATATTATATTATCAAAATAACATAAAAGCTCTGGAGAATATGCGTATCAATCATTTTATTATTTTTATTTTTATAAGGACAAAATTGATATTATGAAAATATAAGAATTTGTTGGTTTCTTTTCTCTCTCAATCTCTTCACTTTTGGGAAGATTGAAAATGAATCTCTGTTTATCTCAATTTCTCCACATTTCTCTCCACTTAGATTATCCAAATAAATAAATAAAATACATCTCTCAATTTTTTCTCTTTTCTCTCTAAATCACTCAACCCAAATATGGTGTAAATAACCCTAATCTATATAATAAAGAAGCTCAGAATTTTGAATATGGATGGGACTTTTGTCCTTTTGGGCAGACCAGTGGGCCGGGCCCACCCCTAATATACTTATATTATATATAATTTAGAGAGAAGAAGGTTGTACATGTAATTTAATCTAATTGGCATTACAAAGCAAGGAGGCGATGTAGCGCGGTTAGGGGTGTAATTTTGACTCGTGGCCCATGGACAATCCATGGTCCGAGGTGGGCCCGGCCCGTTTAGGCCCAAGCCCATCCCGAGGCCTTGGGCCAGGGCCTAGGCCATCATTTTGAAGCCCCACTTATGGCTGGCTGAGGCCCAGTGTTATTTTTAATGGAAAATAATAATATTTTGGTAAAAAAAATATAAAAAATATAAAAAAATTGTTTAAGCCCGCCCAAAAGCCCGAGCCCAGGGGGCCCGCCCACTGGTCCGCCCAAAGCCCGAATATTTCTAGGCCTGGGCTTGGGCTTAGGCCTAGCTTTCTGGCCCGTGGCCCGGCCCGATTTTTTGGCAGGAGCACGCAAGGCCCAATATGGGCCGAGCCGGGTCGGGCCTGGCCAAAATTACATCCCTAGGCACGGTTGATGGGAAAAAATGGTGGGAACACGCAGAGGTATAGCTATCCCTACTCGTAATGAGTAATTATTTTTATTTTTTTAATCATATCTTATCTTCCATTAAATTTTAATTTGATAAAAACAATATTCCACCCATTTTATTAAATTAATATTAAATGAAAGGAGTTGTATTTTTTTTTTATTTATAAAATCAATAAAGTGTTTAACTCTTTATCAAATCTTGTAAATAGACAATCAGGTAAATGATTATCCGGTCAACCAAGTGGACGATTAGTCAAACAACCAGGTGGATGACCGAATTGAGGAAGATTTGATGAAAATTTATACTAGGGAAGACGACTGGTCAGTTTTGATGAAATGATTGGAGAACATCTTATTATATTAAACTCATTTTTAAATTTAACAAAAAAATTGAGTAAGCATTAGAGATCCTTTAAGATGATTAAAACCTTGTTTGACAACTACATGTTTTAACTAAAAAGTTAATATAAATTGTCACATTACTTTCTTTGCTTGTGTACACATTTTTTCATAAAAAATAAAAAGTTATTAAAATAATTTATTTCTAAATGAGACCTAGCTAATTCTATATTTGAGTAGTTAGGTAACTCTATGAATTTAAAAAAAAATAATAAAAAATAAAAAAATATTAGTATATGAGCATATGGTCATATAATATGATAATTTTTGATAATATTAGCATAAATTGTCTAACAATAGATGTCTGTATATTTTGTTTATGATATTTCAAACTTGACAAATTATATGGGTTGTGATCATTTTTATTCTAAAATTGCAATGGAATGTTTTCATTATATTATTCAAGGAGTAAAGATTGTAATAATTTTTTTAAAATTTAAAATAATAATAAAGTTTTTATTATTATTTCACAATACTTAAATGATGTAATAAAAATCTTCTACTGTAACTATGTAAGAAAATGATCCTAGTCCTAATTATTTTTACCCCTTTCATTGATCGATTACAAAATCACTATAAATTTTAAAGTGTATAAACAAAAATCACATAACATGGCACAAATGTCATTGAGGGACTAATCATGTTGTACAGG